ATCAATTTCATGTTATACCAAATATATATTAAATATATTCACTAAGATTGTCAATGATGTTTATACTATTTTTTAACAATACTACTGCAAATATTTATGCTCCTTTAATCTTTTAATCACGATTTTCTAGAATATGGAAATTCTCTTTTATTACTTCAATTACTTATTTATTACTGATCACTAAATTTAATCAAATTCCATCCAGCAAACAAACTCATTATTGAATCATATCAAGTTAAACTTTTAAATGTATATATACACACCACTGAACTATAGATTCTGCTATCAAGCTAATCAAATTTAACCCATCAACAGAATAAACAAACTAAACTATCTTCAGCCACCATACACAGCTCAGACGTACACCAAAACACATGAAATGCTAGGCTAAATAAGGTGAACAAATATTTTTAACCTGATGAAACGCCATCACACAAACCCCCAAAAACAACCTGCACCACAATGAATGAATGAGTGAAACTATTAATGGATTGCTCACTTTCCCTAATAACCATCACATCTCACAAACATATATTTTACTTGTGCAGATCAAATAATTCAATCAAAAGTATACATAACATTAGCGTCTCCGTGGTCTTCTAAGCATTGATGCATCAACCATTTCCCTGGCTTGTCTCTCTCTGCAGGCCACTCTATGCAGACAAAGGTGCACACCTGCACAGCTGATCCTCCTAATCAAAGCCAGTTAATTTAGTCTAAACACAACAACAGCATGAAAAAAAAGAAAAAAAAGAGTCAATTAACTCATGACTTAACAAAGTCCCTTAAGCCTCAAGTGAGAATAACTTTAACTCCAATCTGACAGTGTTTCATGGGGGATAGGAGTTAGTGTAACAGACTTAGGGTAATGTGCTATAGTTGACTAAAGAGAGGAGCTGGATGAATGTTGTCTTGCCGTATTTTGGTGAGAAAAAACAAGATAAAATTATAATTATTATTATTATTATTATTATTACCCACAAGCCAATAAGACTCTGGAACACTAAAAAACAAGAACGTAGGGTTAAATATCTATGATTTGTTATCCTGATTTCCCATACTGTAATTCTGCTATCCGTCTAATCTGCATACACATATTGCATGCCAATCTGGATAAGGGATCCAGATATTGCACTGCTGTTCCCTGTTAAAGGGTTTCTGGGGGGAAAGATTTCCTCATCTGAAAACAGATGTTGACAGAGTTTTCCTCTGGGGACATAATTTACAGTTGAAAAAAGGTAATAAATCCCAATATATTTTATCGCAATACTCGGCATATTGCAACACATTTAAAATCGCAAAAATACTATATCATCACTTAAGTATCATGATAATATCGAATCATGGATCCTCTGGCGATTCCCACCCCTATAAGTTAGTATCTCTTGATATGGGCTGCACAAATAAAACTGACTTGACAGAAAACACAGCTGTTTTTATTTCACAGAATACACAGCCTCATCCCGTTTGCAAAAATAATTCTATAATACACAAAATTGCTTCATCTGAAAAGTGTCAGAGTCTTCAGGTTTAAAACTATCACAAAGAGCCAGAGGGGGGGGGGGGGGGGGGGGGGGAGACAAGGAATTCTGGCTAAAAGCAACATGAAACCCTACTGTGTGTGTGAAACACCACTCTGAGGCATGCAGCAAATATAGGATTTTGTTCTTACTTATAAAAATGTAGGTTCACATCAACAGGCTAATTACAAAATTCATACAAATGCAAACAGAGTCTTCATACCATCACATCATAAAGGACAGATTAGTCACCTACATGGGCGTAAAGTTCTTCCTCGTGTCACAGACCATTTTGCAGTTGTATTACGTCTTTCTTCATAATTTTTTTCTTTCTGTTAACCAACAGGGGGCAGAGAGACTCCAAAACAAATGATGCTTCTCAACACCAAGGATGCTTCCTTGGTAGAGGCTAGGCAAGAACACACATTGGAACAGGCTATTGAGTGCCCAGATGTGCATCCTTGAAGAGGCCCTGCCATCAATTCTGGCAAATTATCCGCAAGGAATTGTGGGTAGTTCATACCTGCTGAGGATACACACATGCATCTTTGAAAATTCTCTTAAGGAAGGACTCTGTCCTCGGTAAAATTTAAAGGATCCTTGACATTGATATTTGATGATGTAGCCGCCTTGAAATTTAAGGATCCTTCCTTGACTTTGAGAAGCACCAATAGTTTCAGAATTAAAGCTGATATTCTGTAAGCTTATCAAGTTGTTGTGGCTCTTGTGTTAACAAACACCCAGCGGACACAGAACAACATCAGCAACAAATAATAAGTTCAATTGTCTTTAGCTCTAGAAACACTCCAGCAACTGTGGTTTCCTGTGATTTTTTTTTGAAAGAACTCTCTTAATTCTCATATTAATTATAGGGGAAATAGGAACTTTCTTCTAAGAAATGCTTCATTTAACTCCAAATACATGTTTGCTATTACTTACAACTGAAAACCCATTTCTCCATACAAGTAATTCTGCTTGCTTGCAAATTGACCTATTTCAGTTTTGAATGTTTGGATTACCCACTGTGTACTGACTTCAAAGACTACAGTAGGTTACACAAACAAGTACTTGGAATTTAGTAATTAATTGGAGTTGTATAAAATGAACACTGTCTTTGTTTTTCCTATTATTAATACCATAGTTCTTTCCATTAAAATTATTACAGAAAATCATGGAATTATGGACCCATAAAATAAAGCATTATTGCTCTGGTTTGGTTCACAAATGCCAAAGAAATATATCTAGTGTTAAGGTCTGCTATTGACAGTCTAACAGTAACCTATTCCATTGGTACATTTACATGTTACATTGACTTTAAACTGTGTTATTGCTGTAAAGTTGAGCACATTCAGCATAATAAAAACATTGACCACAATCCTATCTGGGCAGCAAAAAAGATGATCTTACAGTGGCATGCATAGGTTTGGGCACCTGCAGTCAAAATTTCTTATGCTGTGAATATTTAAGTGAGTGTAAGACTAACTGATCTCCAAAAAGCATGAAGTTAAAGATGAAACATGCTTTTCACCATTTTAACCATGCAAAAGTTTGGGCACCCCAAGACATTTGAGCTCTCAGACAACTTTTACCAGGGTCTCGGACCTTAATTGGCTTGTTAGGGCTCTGGCTTGTTCACAGTCATCATTAGAAAAGGCCAGGTGATGCAAATTTCACAGCTTTATAAAGACTCTGACCCCTGAAACCTTGTCCCAACATTCAGCAGCCACGGGCTCATCTAAACAGCTGCCTAGCACTCTGAAAACTAAAAAAAAAAATAACCAAAAAAAAGGAAAAAAATAAAAAAAGATAACAAAGTGTTTTCAGGTAGCTGTTTCCTCAGTTCATAATGTAATTAAGACAATGTAAAAAAGACCAAGAAAATGTTCTGAGAGAGCAGCTCGTATGATTGTTAGAAAGGCATATGATTGTTAGAAAGGCATGAAAACATCATTAAACTAAACATCATTACAAGTCTGTCGATGGACCTCAAAGAGCAGTGTATGCATGACGGCCCAAAAATCTCACAGAACTAGAAGCCTTTTGCAGGAAGAATGGGTGAATATCCCCCAAAACAAGAACTGAAAGACTCTTAGCTGGTTTCACAAAGTGTTTAGAAGCTGTGATACTACGTACTGCTAAGTACTGACCACAAATGTAATCTTGTTTAAAATATTGATGAAATGTGTCAACTTGAACTTTTTGCCTCTTGGAAATCTTTTACTAGCTAAGCTATTCACAGTTAACAGAATTTTGACAAGGGGTGCCCAAACTTTTGTATGCCACTGTATCTTATGAATTCTGAACAGGTGTCCCTGAAGGTTTCATGGTGAACATCATAGGAACTTTAGGCCTGTGGTGTAGTAGAGGGTACAAGCAGGTATACAGGGTATACCCACCTCTTTTTATGGTTGTTTACAGTATATCCACCAACCAGCCAAAGAGCTACTGGGATATATGGCAGGGTATACCCACTTCCTCCTCTGTAACCTACCCATCTACCTAGTAATACACCCATCTCATCAACTACCACTACATGACTGCTATAGGCTAAACTGGAGACCCAAACTCACAGTCATTGACCATCTGATCCAACAGCAGTAAAGCCAGCATTCTCACGGTGACGACAAACTTAACAGTGTTCACATCCTCTTATAATTTTTGATACATTTTACAAAGAATTGTGGTTTACAAATGTGTACAATGGATGTGCAATGATACCAATGTGATTGTACCATTTGAGAAACGGTATTCTACCAAAGTTTTGATTCACATGTAAGAACAGGAACACATGTATGTTGTGAAATGGGCTCCAGTTAACCTATATGTTGGTACTGAGAACAATGGTAAAGACATGCATTGCTAATGTACACATACATCAGAGAAAATACTGTAAGGAAAAAACAATAATAAAGTAATAATAATAATAATATTAACTTAATGTACATAATCACAACACTAAATATGAAAATACAGTACAATTGTAAAACAACAACAACATTACAGTATATGTAAGAAAAGTACTGTCAGGAGACATATCTGAAGCAGCCACTGTGTCTATTGCAAATAATCTGGGGGTGTGTGATGGTGTTGGTTTAGGCTAAGGCAGAACATGTCCCAGGTGGAAGATGATGGAAATTTCTGGCTCATTATCAAATAAAAACAATCTTATTAGGGACAAAGTTTCTTAGACGGGATTTATACCTCTGCATCAAACTGATGTGCTACCTACCTCTGCGTCAACACAGAGCCTAGACTGTAACATATGGCGAAGCCTGATGTGCACCTCCCCAAAAAAGAACCTACACACTACACTATGACAATAAAGCCCCCACAAAATAGCATTTTAAGTCTTGTGTGTGATTCATTCTGGCTTCATATGAGTAGAGTAACTCTCCGCTAGCCACTAGGCTAATTTATACCATGTAAAATGCTATTGGCTTGTGCTAATAACATCAGCATGTTGTATTTGTGGGGAAAATGTCTCCAGAAGAAGACAAGTGCTTTGTCTGTGAATGCTGTGAGTTATGTTGAGGGCTGGTGTGTGTGTGTACTTGTAATTGAAACTGTAGCTATTAAGCCAAGTTTATGTGTTTTGGGACACAGACACACCAACCACAAGTATAAATGCTCACAAGGGGTAGGCCACGAGCGTAGGCTACAGCGTATAGGCTCTGCATAGAGCTGATGCACATGTATAAATCACAGTTGTTTTCAAAAGGACCTCACGTCCTCCATTCTTTGCTTTTTGGGGGACATTTTTTTACAAAGGTTACAAGAACAGTTGTTGACATTAAAATGACATGGAATGTAATGGTTGACAGATTAGTTAACACCTTACTCCCATATTCCCATTGGAACTATCTGTAGTCAATTTAGGGACATATCATCTGAACAAACTCAAACACATTTTTTTCAAAATGTAGTATTGATTATCTTTAGTTTTAGTATTCTTAAAAAGACAGCGTGTAGTTGTCAATCTGTAGTTTTCAAACATGTTTGCATTTCAGCACACTTTACAATTTACATATTCTGTTCTGACTGGACAGCTGTTTTCAGGGACATGTTCGTTTTCTGTGACAACCTGACGTGTTGCTCCCATGCACCATATAGGACATTTATATAAAACTAAACTTTTCCCAACTCCCCACTGTTGCTTGTGTGTTGCACCTTTGCACCATTGACAGCCGTGCCTTCTTGTGGAGCAGATTTCCACTGACAATGACATGTAGTTGCTTTTCTATCTTTGTAGCTGTATGAGTGAATACACCGCTTTAATCTGAAGAACTGTGATAAAAATCCATCCGAAGCTTTCGAGGTATTTTGCTCTTGTTTGCAATACACTCACACGCACGCACGCACGCACACACGCACACACGCACACACGCACACAAAATGGAGGTGGAAAGGGTAACAGAGGCAGAGACACACAAACATATGCTCACATGATTATTTACTGTTTAAGTAAGTGCCATGTCTGTGCATGAATGTGCATCTGTGTGATAAGTACAACTCAGCCATGCAGACGCACACGGGACTCCTATCATACAGGCGTGCGTTTGTACATTTAGGTGTGTGCATCCTGCGACTGCACAGGCACACGCGCTTGCATGTGACTCTGTCCAACCAAAATCAGCACAGAAAAAAACATTTAATGTGATTAAAGCAGGAAAGTTAGTAAATCACTCTGACACATTATCTGCTGTCCACAGCTGCTTTATACTGTATGACAAACTTCTCCTTCAGTTTATGAACTCTGCAACATCTGAAGGCAGCAAGACCCATATGTTGATGGATCCACAGCCTCTGAGAAGCACTGCACTGGAGCGCGCTGCCGTTACACACAGCCGTTCACTGAAAATGACACCAGGCTGTTTCAGTATAACCACAGAAACCTCTACACACATCAAACCGATCATTTAGAAGTTGATATTCTGCTTTTTATAAAGGAGATGTCGGGTTACCAGGGCTCATCATAAAATCTTTTCAAACTTTCTTTTAAGCAAAAGTAGCATCTGTTTTATCCCTGAAGCACACTGCAGTGCAAACCCTGCTGAGTAACTTTAATTACTGAATTGTGACCATGTATGAGGTGAAATACATTAGAATTATTTTTTAAATATTGTTGGTCTGTTATGATCATATAAACGGTTTCACCAAATCAATTTCTTCGTTTTTTTATTTCTAGTGTTATTATACAGTAATCATCCTCAGTCAGTCAGTGGGTTTAGATTTGTACTGATGTGTGTCGATGTCATGACGCTTTAAACCATTCGGACAGTCCCTGAGTTAAAGCTTTCCATTTGCTGAACTCGTCATCACGTCTGTGATTGGCAGAGCTGTTTTAGAGCTATGACACCAGTGATGTGACTGGATGAGAGAGTATTAAAAGATCACCACACCAGCTGATCAACTCACCTTCAACCAGCCCTTTTAGATGTTGCGCAGCTGCTGCACACACATGTACATGTGCACATGCATAATGATGATACATACACATGAGTGTGTCTACATGTCTGAGTTGTAATTATTACGCACAGACGCACATGAATACACACATGTAGGACTTTTAGTAAATAATCACACCAGGGTTGGTGTGTCTTATCCTCTGTGACCCTTTCCACGCCCCATACACACATACACACACAAACACACACTGTCCATCAGTCAGCTTTGTCCTTCTTTCTTGGCGTGACTTTACTTGCCACCGCAGATCCCACTGCTCCGACACCCTCTGTAACCATGGAGACGCTCCCTTTGACCAGTCCTGCACTGGCTGCAGGCACACTGGTCACAGCTGTCTTGGTGAGCTCAAAACTTTTAGTTCCCACCCATGCAACGCCCCCCAGTGTGGCACCAACAACATTTCGTGTCATGCTGAAGAGGCCACCGCCCATTCTCCACATGACTCCTCCCTCTGGCCTGGGATGGTCCTTATCTGTGTCTAAGACAGAAAGAGACAGAGAGAGAGTCAGACACAGTCAGACAGAAGCAAAGGAGAGACACACAGGTAGAGACAGAAAGACAGAGGGAGAAAGAGAGACAAGGCAGAGAGAGAGAGAGAGCGAGAGAGAGAGAGAGAGAGAGACACACACACACACACACACACACACACACACACACACACACACACACAAAGAGATAACAGACAGACAACCAAAGAGAGACAGAATTTAACTGTAATAACTGTAACTGTAATTTAAAATACAAATACAAATGTCTCCCCTTCTGTTCCTGAGATATGACACTGAATAATGGCCAGAGGAGTGTTTTTGCTGAACATCATGGTGTCACAGTAAAGCTGATCTTTGACCCTTTGACATTTGTGTCATATTTAAAGACATTCCCTAAAAGGGAAATTTCAGTTTATTTCAACCCGTCTCCTATCGTCCTAAATTTTTTTTAAGTGACTAATGACATAGAAATGATAGTTAGCATGTTAGCCGTTAGCCTAGATACAGACCTGTTAAAACGTAAGTGAACGGGCATCCCTTCAAGTGCAAAGTTAGTCGACTAAACAAGCTTTTTTCCCACAAAGACCGCCTCATATCGTTAGGATAAATGTCAGAGAACATATAGAAAACAACATGTAAACGTGTTGTCTTACCTTACCGGTGTGCTGCCATGTTTGTTTATCCCTCTAGCTCTGCTTTCCAAAGCGCGGCCAAAATATCGCGAGAACAAGCAGCGATCTCATAGCGTGCCTGAACAAGCAGCAACAGCTGGAAGGCAGAACCGGACAGTAGCCTGAAAAGTTCATTCATTTATTTTATGAAAGATTTATAGAATAATGGCTGCAAGGAATGGCAGCCTTATTTTCAAGGTCTGGATGTGACCGAGGACGAGACACCTGGAGTAGTATCCAGCTGGGCTTTATCTAGAGCTGGCAAGATATATTTCAGCCGCGCCTTGGAAAGCAGAGCTAGATGGTAAACAAACATGGCAACACACCGGTAAGGTAAGACAACACGTTTTACATGTCGTTTTCTATATGTATGACATTTATCCTAAAGATATGAGGTGGTCTTTGTGGAGAAAAAGCTTGTTTAGTGGACTAACTTTGCACTTGAAAGGATGCCCGTTCAATTACGTTTTAAGGGGTCTGACGCTACGGCTGTATCTAGGCTAACGGCTAACATGCTAACTATTATTTCTATGTCAGTAGTCACTTGAAACAAATTTAGGACGATAGAAGACAGGTTGAAATAAACCGAAATTTCCCTTTAAGGTGTTCTTCACTTATTCACGAGAATGAGAATGTGACCAGACCTTTGACCACCAAAAATCGAATCAGTTCAGCCTTGAGTCCAAGTGGACATTTGTGCCAAATTTGAAGAAATTACTTTGAGGTGTTCACAAGGATGGGACGGACAGAACCCAAAAACATCATGCCTACAGCCACAGCTATTGCAGGTGAGGAGGCATAAAAACACATTTGTCTCTAGTGATAATGACTGTTAGGTCAATAGCTTTCTTTAACTTGGTGCTTAGCTAAAGCCTTTATGCCGTCGAGAGTTCCTTTACATGCTTCGAGTTTTGTTTGTTATTGCACTTACTTGGTTTGTTGAAGTTGATTGTAGTCTGTCCGGTTGGTTATGTGTGGATTGTGTGAGCGTGTGCATGTGTTGGCTCTGAGCTCTAACATGAATCAAATAAATCGAATGAACTAAAAAGTACAAATAAACAAACATACGCTATTATCACTCGATCGATTGATATCCACAAAATAGCGTTCATTGTGTCAGTAAGTGTCGAGTATCAAAACAAAACGGAGCAGAGCAGAGCAGAGCAGAGCAGTAAAAGACTGTGTGCTCTCTCAGCATTCACTGTTTGTTGCACACCTGCATGCAGCTAGTGACCTGTTTATAAAGGCCTTTCGTTAATACCACTGGTCAATACCAGATGGTGACATTTCTCATGTATACATGACTCATTTAAATATATTTAAATGAGTAACTAAAAATGGCTCCAACAATGACAATAGGCCCGTTTCCACCACAGGAACTTCAGGATAATTTTACGGGGCCGGGGCCGTTGGTGTCTCCACCGCAGGAACCACTCCCGAAGGACAGAGTTCCGGAACTTTTACAGGGGCTAAACAAGTCCCTGCCTCGGGGTAGGTACTCAGAACGGCCCCGAAAAACTCCTGGGTGGGGCTTGGGGTTTACTTGGTGCTGATTGGATATACTCAAGGAGGGATGTGACGTCAACAGAAAGCAACAAAATAGCCGGCATTTTTAAAACTCAGCATGGTCGTGCAACGCTTACGTCACATCCAGAGCCTGGTAACTTTACAGGAACCTTCCTCCTACTCCGTCCTCTCAGTGGAGACACGGCGGTTGAGAGGGCCGTGTGAGAGGACGTTCCTGTAAAGTTCCTGCCCCCCAAATAGTACCAGGAACTTCTTCAGTGGAAACGGGCCAAATGGCCCACATGATCAAAGCTGATGGAGGGTCCACTTAGGTCCACTCTGGTATTAGACATATTGACACACATGCCTGAGACCATCTGGTGTGCAACAGGAAAAGGGTTTGGACCCGGCCTGACTTAAGTCCCAGGAAGGGTCTTGAATAGCAGGCACTGACTGGACCTGTGATGATCTCTTCTTCCTAACAACTAGTGTATGGATGTAATTCCTCACCATGTGGGTGTTCCTCCTGAAGGCAGGGGGAGACTTCCTCCTGTTCTCTGTCTTCACAGTTCTGGTGGTTGTTGAAGTCAACAGGAATTGAGCTCACCTCCTCCACCTCCTGCTGTGAAGTCAGCACCTGAAACACAGCATGAATCATCGATATTACAGGGTGGTAAAGTTCTGCACTGAAAAGCAAAGCTATTTAGTGAAGAAGGCACAGTCGCGATGAAGTGTGTGGATATTCCTGAGTGATGTTGTGTCTTGAAATGATGATGTTTTTTATTATCTCAGGTAACAGAATTCATCAAAACAAATATAACATTGGATATATATTTAGTGAGAATTTCCAGTAGCTGTCACACTAAAACATGTTAATGCCCTGTGGGATCGATTTTTTATTTCCAAAACCTGGCTGGATCATTTGTGGACAATCTGAAGATGCTTTGTAGCAAGTTTGGTGTCAATTGAGCAAAAAATGTGGAAGGAGATAGGTTTAATAAGTTTTAAAGTTTTTGGAAAAAACAGAGGTGGTGGATCTTATGGAATTACCATGGTCTAGAGTGCCCTCTCAGCTCTTTGGACTCTCAGCACTTTTCTAGTTTGGAAAACACTCATATAACTAGAAAAGTGCACTCAGTAGAGTACAGATCTCCACTAAGTGGCTGCGTTTAGGCTGTGGCTGCTGGAGCTGCTCATGGCCACTTTGGGCACTGCTGTGCCCAGTGGAATTGACAGCAAAGAACGAAAACATTGTTTTTAATGCATCTTAACTTTACATCTTAACTTTTTGTCTTAACTTTAGTGGTTTATAACAAAACAGATACGGAATTAATTTCTAGATGCTCTGAGACCTGACTTTTCTATGGATTTTTTTTTTGAGCCATGACAAAGGCCAAAATATGGCCTGCACCAGATAAGGTAAGGCATCTTGTTTTTTGCTGAGACAACGCTTTTTGTCCTGTGCTTTTGCTACATGATTTTGTTAATGAGTTTTGGTTTCTAGCAGCCGGTTAGGAGGAGTAAGAAGTGAGCAGTCTATGACGACATAATAAAACAAGACTTTCAACAATTGTAAATTATTACAATCATGAGAGGTCCTTGAGCATATAGTCATAAATGTGCATATCAAATATTAGGCAGAGCTTCTGACAGACTGATACACACACTCACACATGCTCACACAACTAAACACATGACCCTCTCCAGGCTTATGCCAGAGGGAGATAATGCCGACCATGTATTTCTGGAAGTGCCCACAGAAGTACCAACATTACTGTATGTTACCTCAACCAAAAATCAATTAAATGAAGAAAAGAATGGATGTTTACGAGGCAGGGACATGCGCACATGTGCATAGTCTGCCATACTTTATAATTCAATAATCCAGTATAAGGTTTTAAAATAACAAATAAATAGGTTACTATTGTAGACAGGCCTACAACAATAAATTAAAAAAGTATTTCTTATCTTTCCTTGTAGTATCAATGTTCAAATGCATTTTATCATTATGGTTGCATGTCATGTTTATGTGTTTTTAGGTATTTTATTGGGTTAGGTGTCAGGTAGGGTTGCAGCGGTATGAACAGTACTGAACAGTAACCGCCTCAGCAAATACCGCAGTTTTGCAGTATCATAGTATTACAGAATTAATATCATTATCACTCACAATGTCCCTTAAAGGGATGAGAATAGAAGGTTTACTTTGGTTTAACAAACATTTTATCACTATATTTGAAACTTGAAACAATTTTTTAATTGGAAGTTTGTGTAAAAAGTCTCCTTTTTGAAAGTAGCTAAAATAAAGGTTAGATTCTCCATCTAGTTGTGTTTTTTTCCAATACTGTAGATAAGCAATTGTAAATTGTATAATAACTGGAGGCACATAAACATCAGCACATCATCAGTATTAACCAATATCAGTTTTAAAATGAAAAATCTTAATCGGCCAACATGCTGATGATGTTAGTACGTCATTGTTATCAGCCAGCATCGGCTCTAAAATGAACTATCAGAAAAGGCCAACATGCTTTTTCTTATTTTGCACAGTGAATGAATATTACATACATTGTAAAGCATTCTGTTTCATGTCTCCATCTGCTGGTGGACCATCACAATAAGAGTATGCATGCATAATATGATGCTAATTCCACTACAGAAGAGACTTGAAGACCACTAAAATTAGGTGGGGACAAAAATGGATATAATAATCAAATAATAATCAAATGTTACATATTGGCATATCGGCAAAAAAAACAATATCGTACATCCTTATTTAATACCTTGAAAACAGAATACTGCTGCAACCCTAGTGTCAAGATGACATTGTAAATTTATTATTTACTGTAAATAATGTGGAAATATCTGTTGCTTACATTGTATATTTTAATAAGGACCCCAGGAAGAGCAGTTGTTGACAACAAAGTAATTAATGGGGATCCTAATAAACAATAAACACTATAAAAAAGAAACTTCCTATTTAGCTCATTACTATAGCCTACATAATTTTCACGTGTATATATCATTTCCTTATTTAGCACTACAATGATATATTGCAAAAGGTCCGTAAAGCAAATACCCATCTTTCAGAGTCAAGGGAAAAAAAAGTGGGAGCTTATCTTGAGTCTCCCTCACTAGGAAAGCTATGGATTCCAAATCCACAAAGAAAATAGAGGAAAACAGAGGATTTCATTGTGTGCAAACTAATTTATTTGCTTTCTCCGCCAACACTACAAAGTTAAATTACCAAATAATCACAAATAGCCACTGCAGAGTAGCCACCTTCTGGTAAAACATTTTAAAGAATGATAAATGCTTATTTAGACCTAATTTAGACTGAACAGGTGTTGTAGATATACAAATGAACATATGACTATGAATATATACTAGAAAATCTCATACTTTACACCCCCCTGTATTTTCTCAGGAGACTCAGATCTTTCAACGTCTGCAGAAGCATGTTGCAGAGTCATCTTCTACACTGTCGAGTGCTGGGGCAGCAGAATAAAAGCAGCTGATGCTAACAGACTCAATAAGGTCAGCAGGAAAGCTGGTTCTGTCCTGGGGGTGGAACTGGAGTCTTTGGTGGAGGTATCAGAGAGAAGGACGCTGAGAAAATTACTCAGTATTCTGGACAGCACCTCTCACCCCCTGCATGCCACTCTAAAATCATATCAGAGCACATTCAGCCGTAGACTGAGACCACCGAGGAGAGGCAATATAACTCCTCCTCCACTTCTGTAGGGAGAAAAGCTGAAACAAAAGAAACTGACAACAATATTCACCTACATTAGGTGCACTACATTTAAGATAGTGTCACTACTTTTCAGTATCTTTTACCATATTTTTCTCAACATCATGTGCATTATTACTTTTCAGTATCGTGATCACGTGAATGTACTGCAATATCATTTTCTCAAAATCAGCACATAAATCATCGGGAGCAGTGTGCTTCTTTCCACAATTTGAGTTCATTTTTAGTAACTCTTGTACTTATCTTACTTCTGTTGTTACTCTATTAGGCAGTGGGTTTTGCTTTTGCTCTTTAAAAACACATCTTATCCTGTATATTAGAATATTTTGCCAGATATTTAATACACTTGACCCTGACCCAAGGACCCCACTAGTTGTTCTGGTTATTCTTTTCTGTTCTGGTAACATTATTTGTTGTTTCTGTAATCTGAAGCATTCTCTGGCACAAGAATTTCCTTCTGGATAAATAAAGTTATATTAAATCAAATTGAATACATATACATAGCTTATTAGGTCAATTTACTGGTTGAATAAATCCCAAGAATAAGGCAATTCAGATGAAATGTCACCATTCACTAGAGCACAGCCATATATATTGGTTAGAAGGGAATTAAGGGAGTGGGGCATCTTCCTCTATCTTACCATATATGTCACATATTACGCAAAGTGACCACTAAGGGCTGAGTAATGTAACGTTAGTGATGAAAAAATGTAGGCTACTATTTCCCTTTAAAATGTAGTGGAGTGTTAGAATAAAGTAGAAAATATATTTTCAGTAAATCCTCAAAAGAACTCCAGCCTCTCGGGTAAACTGATTCACCATCTCGCATGTTTCTTTTTAATGGTATAATTACAACAAGAGGACAAATTCATTCATTCGCTCACTGTCACATTATTTGTCACCCACATGAACTGTTACCGTCCGCTGCTGGACTAGCTGTGTTGACAGTTAACATGTAGCGGTAATGTCTGCACAGCTGAATCCTATTTTACAGCAGCCTAAAACATGAGTTGATTTTACCGCAGTGAGTTATCTGTGCTCTTTATGTTAGCTCGCTCTGAGCGACACACACAAAACGATACAACACACACACCGCTACACGGATATCTGCTGTCTTTACTGTTGTCTCTATTGGCAGCCTGTGACGTTACTGGATATCAGCGTCACCACTGACACTACAGTTTTGGCTCTGCAGTAGAACAAGACCAAAGAATATCTCACCTCCATCCCGTTAGCTGCTTTCAAAACGTTTCCTCGGTTTATGCTTTTAGCGATCCTGCTTCTGTTGTTTTGCTGTCAACCTGAAAGCGGAAGTGACGTAGTGTTGTTTACTGTGCGGTGGTAGGGGCAGCAGCGCTGTAGCATCATTTCGACCATCGCTGCTGATTTCTTTTATCCTTGAACTTGTATCCTCTGGCTTATTCTGTACATTTGCCTCGTGGAAAAAAACATATACAATAAAAAGTAGTGAAATTAAAAACAGAATTCTTAAATTATACAATATCACCCAAAGCTAAAGAAATTCATTTCCAATGAAATTACAAAATGCAATGGTGCCAATGATCAAGCTGAACAGCACTGAATACACTGCAATGCTCACTTGAATAATAGCCTACCATGCATGCATGAATGATGAGGGATATTTGAAGGTGTTTTGAAAAGCAGACACTGAACTGCAATACTGGCTCTAATGTGTGTGAATGTCAATGAATAGTTAAATGAGACCAATACTCTGGGATATTTCAAAGTTTTTGAAAGGCTGACTCTACACTGCAGTGCTGACTTTAACGTGTAAGAAGAAGGCGAATTAGCAGGAATAGATGGAAAGCTGGAAATGAGCTTAGTATGAATATTATTGAAAAGTTGAATGATAGCCTCCCAATACTGTTGAATATTATAGCCTACTGTTAATACAGGGTTATATAGACAGCCAAATTGCTGAACACAGAACATTAGTCTCTCCATCCAGCTGATTAGAAGATTGATTATTTTACATTTTTTAAATCTTTATTCAAAATACTGAGATACATAAAGGTTTATTTCGTGGAGATTTGACTTCTTAATAATTCTTATGAGGGAGAAATAAGTACGACTAGAGGTTTGTGGATGTAATGAACCATGGCCTAACCTTTAAAGTACTTTTGGGAAGTAGAGTAACTTTAAAGTCTACACTCAATAATGGGTGACGCTTTACAGATGATGAAGCCAGGCACACCCAAATATGTAAAAAGCTTGACTGATGAATGTGAATAGAGACACGTCATGCAGATTAATAAATAGAGCAGTGGAGGTAGTGAGAGCACCACCCTCCTCCTGACAGACCGCTGCACTCTGCAACAGCAACACAACAGGTTTACGATGAGAGATGGAGTGCAGCTGGAGGCGCAGACATGCCAAGACTTCTCACTGCAAACATGCCTGTGGGCCACCTCTCACTCCTCAGGAATTATTTTTACATATTGACTTCTCGAAGTATTTTTCAATGTGTGGGGTATATCATAGGTTATTTTATTATTGTTTTAAGAGACTTTCATACATTCATCTGATTTGGGGGAATCAGACATTTCCAACATTTTCATTAATTTGGTAAAGTAGATGGATCATTTGGATTGCGCTGTCTAACCTGCTCCAGGTGTGACACCAGTTCTCTTTTGCGTTTGTCCTTTTATTTCTGTGTTGTTTCCATGTTTCCTTGTCGCTGCATCTCCTTAGATTTCTTGTACCTTCTGGTATAACATCAGGCATTTCTTGTTTCCTCTTTACTTCCAGATGTTGGGACGCCTCCTCCCAGTGGTGCTGCTGTCACTGCCCGCCGCTCTTGTTGCAGATGTCGCCGAACTGCTTCGGACCTCGACAGACAAGAAGGACCGATCATCGGCTTCTCGCTGTCCCCTACCCACGCGAGTGCGCGCCGTGTCTGTCGGGCTCGTTCACGGAGCTGTGGAACAATACCAGGTGGTGAAGACGCCGTGAGTCAGTCATTCTGTGCTTCGCCCGAGGCTCTGCTCTCCCCCTGCAGCAATCTGGACCAAGGGTATCGCTGACAGAGATCGAAGGTGTTGGGGTGAACTGGCGCCGAGCTTCCTCCTCCCCAGACCCAGCTGGCCCCTGGAGTCCTGGCCCCATGTGTACACCTGACCATCTGCAGAGAAATCACCATGACTCTGTTAGCTCAGTAGTGCAGTCTACAAAACTGTGATCTGCTTTGTCAAACACTTTCCTGACATCAGCCACTGCTGGTGCATAATTTATTTTCTTCTACACAAAAGTTAAAAATTTACAATATCTTGTCATATGTCAATACACTGACTTATTCAATTCTATGTAGTGGATGCTGATAGTATAAACATCAAATTTGTTTGCTTTTTTCCTATGGCTGTGAAGGGCCAAATGAGCTGCTCCTGTGATAGCAATGACGATCCTAATAAACTCTTAAAGGTGAAGTGTGTAAATTTAGGAAGATTTGGTGGTGTTTGGTGGTGACTTGCAGATTGTATCCAGCTAAACTTCTTCCAGCTAGAAGATCAGTCAGCGTTAATTGTTTGAGAGTTTTTTTTGGGAGCCAAATTATCTGCAGAGGTCTCTTACTCTCCAAAACCAAGTGATTTAAAAGCAGCTTCACGTTACAAACCAGTGAAACTCTGAGACTCTGCTTGTTGCAGAGGGGCTACGAACACAGGAGCCGACGGGAAAATGTGAATGGCCCTGTCTGGAGCTAGAATTTGGTTTGTCAGTTTTGACAAAATATAAACACCTCATTCTAAGGTAAGGGAAACACAACAATTCTTAGTTTCAGGATATTATACAGTTATGAAAACCTAGCTATTAACATTATATTCCATTTGTACCAATACATCCCCCTCAATCATAACCACTGGACCTTTAAAGGGTCACTACACCCAAGTTACACTAAAAAAAACCTCTAAGCACTGAGCATTTCTTATTTAAGTGAGAAAAAACAGCTTTATATAAAATCTAGCAACATCTTTTTCTGAAAAAATCTAACAAACAACAAAAAAAAACCAAATCCACACACATATTTGTAACTGTTTAAAGATCTAGTGTGTAGAATTTAGTGGCATCTAGTGGTGATGTTGCAGATTGCAACCAACTGAAACTTCCCCTGTGAGCATGTAGGACAGGAGTGGCTGACGCGAAAAATGTGAATGGCCCTATCTAGAGCCAGTGTTTGGTTTGTCCGTTCTGGGCTACTGTTGAAACAACATGCAACAAGAGGACCCCCTCTGTGTGTAGATGTAAAAGTCTCATTTTAAGGTAATGAAATTACACATTTTTTTCAGGTGTCCATACAGTAATTTGATATTCCATTTGCGCCAATATATCCACCCAAATCGAGCCTGGTCTCACTCTGAAGTTGTCAGAGTCGGCGCATGGGCAGTAACTCGCGGCGTCAGATACCAAAAAAAAAGGGCACCCTTTTTCGTCGGCATGAAATGCAGCCAGTTGCTGTAATAGTTTAATGGTGCCAGGCAGCATCGGGGGAAACACGGCAGGCCAAGGAGGAAAGTTAAGGTGACGAAAGTCCTATTGGGGTGGGTGGGAGGGATGAGGGAGGGAATACGTCCCATAAAAAGCCAAACTCTGCTCGTTTTTCCTAAACCTAACCATGTGTCTTTGTTGCCCAAACCCGACCATATGTGTTTGTTGTTGAAGGAAAAGAATTGCCAATTTGCAGTGTTGTACCGTCATAGTGAGTTTATTTTGAAAGTGACTGTATGTAAACATTAAATTTCCTGTGAAAACAGAAGTGTATCTTGAAAGAAGACAATGCATGTAACAGGCAGAACTTGACACGGTGTCCAAGAACGTCAACAACTAATGCACCCAGGGTACCTTGCACGTCGTATGTGGACTTGGAAAGTCCATGACCAGAACGTCAATATGTGACAAGGTCGGAGTGAGAATGTGTTGCCTAAATCATACATACTGGACCTTTAATACATAGAGTTGTATTCATCCCCATTGTTTTTGGGTGGAGACAGAACGCTCAGATATAAATATCTCCCAACCTTGACGCATAAAACCACACCTATTTGCATGACTGGATACCAGATCTTGAACATCAGTAGCAGTTTACGATGCACTTTACTGTACCTTTGGTCAGGGCGACTGAATGCTGGCTCCCACAAGCAACCTGAGATACCACTATGTTACACAGAGCTTCCACAGGCCTGAGAGAAACAGAGACAGAAAACAAAAGAGCACAAATATTTAACTCAGAGCTGATTAACATGAATCCATGTCAAGTTTTTTTTTAAGAGTCATGTTTTACAAAATCTTAGTTTCTCCTTACCTAGGAATGTAAGTGCGAGTTGTGTCCACACAGAGAACTTTCCCTGTCTCAGACAGCAGTGTGACCAGATCATCACCACAACTCACAGCCTCAATCTTCTCCTTAAACTTCACAAACTCTGAAAAGAACACAGGACACATTAAGTGACGCAGCGGCTTATGTGTCATCATTACTGCAAATGAAACTTTTCCAAGAGTTTTAACTTATGTGAATAAATACATGCAATAACAGATCATCAAGACTGATAGTCACTCTGCTTTCCTCTGACTCTTCTCCCATCTTTGCTGTCATTTGTGCGAATGATGAAGGAGTTTCCATTACTTTTGACAAAAGCCAGCACATTGTGACCTGCCGACAGATCCGTGATGTGATAACTGAGGTTTACATGACGGACCCCATCATCTGTTGTAGGCCTACTGTCTATATGTGAGCCATCCTTTAACCGAAAGCCCCGCTGACTGTCCTCTCCCCATGAAAACATGTTGTCACAGTGCTCTGCAGCACCGACAGCTGATTTGTAGGACTCAGAAACGAAACTTACAGTGAACACAAAGTCTGCTGGGAGGAATGGAAAATTAAACCTAAACACAGCAGCATGATGAAAAACGACAACAAGCAGAGTCACGCTGACACACCTAGTCATAAATTAGTACCTTTAATGAAGACAAATGAAACTGCAGATGGCTATAGAATATGGATGCTTATTAAACTTATAAAAGTGTGTTTTTGTGTCACACTACATCAGAGTCGTCATCTGTGGATGTCACAGGTGGTTATGGGTGCATATGGTTGAATGTGCAGATTGTATGTTTTGGTGAAAGAAAGTGACAGTCATCCGCTTTTCTTCTAGTTTCATTTCATTTGCAGAGAAAGAGCACTGAGGGCGGTACTGAGACACTCTCCTAGAGAAGTTGCTATCAGAGATGGGTGTTTGTGTTTGTTAAGTTTAGGAAAGAGTTGAGGTTTGGGTTAAAATGAAGAGATTTCCTTCAGAGAGGGGTAAACTTCCCCCATGTGCGCACAGAGGAGGGCAGTCAGGATGAAGAGACTTTGCGTCATTTTGTTCAGTGGGAAATACAGCCTGTCAAAAACTGACATCCGAATGTGCTTAAATCAGGGTAGCTCATTCTGACAATAATCAAAATAGTTAGTTAGTGTGATGTGATCTGCAGGCTGGCAACTAGAATATTCAACACACTGTTTATTCAGCAGTCCAAAAGAACGCTGGGTGGTGCTGTTTTGTGTGTTTTAAGCAGAGATGAGGCTAAATCAGACTTTATTTATACCAACTCAAATATCTTTCATGTTCTTTACATTTCCATCATGCCTGTGATGTAATGCAGACATGTTGATGGATGTGCCCGTCCAAGGTTGTTGGGTTGTCCTACTATTTGTTGTTTTTAGCAGTTTTGTCCCTGTAGGCTAAATGTATTTCATGTTAGGAGAGATTTAAACCAATCAGGAGTGATCCTCTATTGGGATCCACAGAGCATAAAGGCTACAGTATGTTGCTATGTTAATCTTTTCAGTCTGCACATCACATAATACTCATACAGGTTCAGAGGTTGAGTGACAACATCTGGAGGCATCTCCAAATTAAATGTCACTATCTTTATGCCTCTGTGCTGACGAAAGCTATAGCTGGAGGCATTATGTTTCCAAGTCGTCAGTCCATTCATACGTCCCATTCTCAAAAATGCCTTGAGGGAATTTCCCCAAATCTGGCACTTAGACTCAGCAATGAACTGATGAGATTTTGGTGATCAGAGGTCAAAGGTCACATTGTGAATTCTAGTGAACAAGACATCTCAAGACGAACTTGATGGAAATTTCTTTAAATTTGATACAGACTTAAACTTGGATTGAAGAATAAGCTGATTAGAATGTGGTGGTACAAGGTCAAAGTTCAAGGTCAGTGTGACCTCACAAAACATGTTTTTGGATATAACTCAATAATTCCTTCACTAATTATGATGATGGCATTTTATATCCAAAAGGTCAAAGGTCAACCTGAATGTGACATCATAATATTCTGCATAAAACACTGTGGATCATTACTCAACATCACATTTTAGGAACTGAAGGAGAGACATCTGGTCAGATACTGAATTGGTGACACTAATTTTGAAACTGTGCTGATTGTATAGAACTTAAAGTGTGTGTAGGGTTCATGTTTGCACAGACATGGATGTAAACTGGAAGAGAAACTTGATTGGTCATTTGTAAAACCCAAAAACCTCTGTGGCTGTTCACATAGAAAGTAAAATATTGTGAAATTAACGTGATAACTTCAATATTGATTTAATATTAACATGTAAAATGCCTGTTTATTGTGAAAGACAACAAGACTATTTTTGATGGAACAGCTCCCCCGTGTGGTCATTTATAATGTAGTTAATATTTTGTATCTTCAATCCTGAAACATGAGGTCAAAAATCTAAACCAGTTTTTCCTGGATTCCTTTTATTAATAATGAATCAGCCTCAACAGTTTCTGCCCAAACAGGCCTCTGTCATCTACAGTGGTTAATACTATGTGGCATCTCTCAAATTAAACTAATAGCTTAATTTTTTGGTCCCACTTTCTGGTGACTCGGCATTTGTAAAGGGGTTTCAAACATTAATTAATGGCTTTAGTATTGGTAAAAAGGTCATTTACTTTTCCTTATAGATAATTCATAAGACATTAATAATACTATATTTTGGTATGCCAATCCTTCATCAACATACTAACATTTCTAACTGCAGACAAGATGACTTATTAGAAATTAAGAGACACACAAGCAAATAATTCATATAAACCCTTCATAAAGGGTGACATTTCAGAGAATAACTGAGTATAGATGTCTGCTAGCAAACTGAAATAAAAAGATAATGATTTAGAAAAGTGTGAACAGAAAACAGCTTTCAAAGTTACACAAATTCACCAGGATCACAGATATGGATGTATCTGTTTTATGTATCTGTTTAATTCTTGTGGAGTCAAATGACTGATCTAATGACTGCAGAGACTGACAGACTTTACTGAGCAAAAGTGGCTTACAAGTACAAAGTACTAGAACAAGATAAGTGGCAGACTTTTTAAGGGAGCATGGTTGGAAATGTAAAACACTAGATTCTCAGGTGGAGTGTCTCTGCATGGAGAGGAGAAATAAGCATAGTTGGTACACAGCTCTTATAAAAGGAATTATCCTCCTGGCCCTTCATCAGCTCCTGGTGCCTCTGGAAGTCTGTGAAGTCCAACAGAGCCTGGAGAAAACCACAAAGATGTTGCGTTACACAGATATAACATCCAAGTTCTCACTCGGTGAGGCCTGATCATTTCTAACATGCATTCAAACATCAGATTAACTGCACATTTATGGCCAGACACTGAGACACTACAAATATCTCATACTGCTGTACACCAGCCTGATCCACCCAGAGATCAGACGAGTGGGAGGAAGAAGAGCTCATTCTGGAAGATCAGCATCACAGTCAGTATTGTTTATGCAGCCTCCTCCACCTTCAGGTTCTGGCAGACTGCTGAGGGCCTGAACCTGCACCTACAGCACCCACCGGTCAGTAAATCCCAGACCCACATTTCATTTGCAATTTCTGGAAGACACCTGCAGCTCCACTGTCTGCCCCTGCTGCCCCTTACAGCCAGAAGGGATGCTTTACTAAAACAGTGGCCAGCAAAGGATCCCACCTGCATATGAGGGGCATAGTTACATATTTTCAGACCTTTGATTTGGTTTTGTATCATTTCATCAGCATCAGCTCAATCAATGGCGTTCTGGTAAGCATTATTAATTTTCTTGTGTCAAATGTTTTAATACCATATATGTATAATATATGTATATATATATTAAATATATATTTATAAATATTTAATATAGTTCACCAAAAGGTACTCCAAACTTTCAGAAATGTACTCAGATGAAGCGGATAGCTGCAACAGATGTCACAGTTCAGCAGATATTACACACATATTGGTTCTGCCCATCACTGACATATTACTGGTAGGGCCTATACAATATTCAAAGTCTTATCAGAGTCCTTTAATCTAAATCTTCAACCCAGTGCCTGGAGGTGCATCTGTGGTGTTCAGGGTGACAAAGATCAAACTTTAAATAAAGGCTTAAACACAAAAACAGTTGCTTTCTCAACCCTTTCGACAGGTAGGAGAATCCTGATGAAATGTATGTCACCTCATCCACCAAATTCTTCTGTGTTCGAGGGATTTAGTGACCAAATCTGCCGGGGGGTCTGGGGTTCAGAGAGAATTTTAAAAAATCATAACTATATGCGAATACGAATATGTACAATTGGGCAATAACATGTAGCATATCATAATTCCTGCCTTGGTTTGAGGGAATTTGGAAATAGTAACTGGATGGGGGAATGATTGAGGGGGAGCAAATGTAAAGTTTACAGTGCATGATTGTGTTCATTGTCAACTTGCAGTAACAGATTGGGTGCACAAAGTTAAGGCTAGCTGGGATATTTTTTAACTTTTAGCTATCACACACAGCTAACGTTAGCTAAAAATGTTTTTACTCTCGACAGAAACATTATCCTTCAGCTCAGGGCTGTAATCAACATTAGGGCGCCATTTTCTATGGCCAGCCTCCGTGACCCTTCAGGGGGGTCTGGGGGGAAACAACATTTACGTTACCTCTGAAATGTGCTGAAATTAAAATATAAGCCAGTGTAGCGCAAACATGGAAATCCTCCACTAGCTTAAAATAACATTTGAATAAATGCACACCACTTGTATTCAGATGTTCCACTTAAATTATTTGTAAATACTAATGCTACAGCTGCCTTCAGATCTTACTGCATTTAAATACAGAGGAGTCATTGTATTGTTTAGGCTACATTAAAATATTGGAGTATTATTGATGCATTTGTATGTAATGAGCAGTTTAATGATGTTGTTACTCCAGGTGAAGTCATAACAACTTTATATGTTGGTTAGTAGTTAAATCTTTCCTAACAGATCATATATTTTGTGTGTAAAATCCATATTTGTAAAGAAACTGTCGCATTAATGTAGTGAACTAAAACATAAAACAAATCCCTGAAAGAGTATAATACAATACAGGCTATAATATGTAATGTTTCTCCTCTTTGTCTCCGAACCAGCTTTCTGTAATAGTGTGTCAGGAGTCCTGTGACCATCAACGAGGTCCAGTGACAAGCTGAGGAGAGGCGTCACGCCAAACCTCCCTGCATCCAAAATGGATGTCATAAGAGAGCTGCAGCGTATCATCGAGGAGATGGAGAAGGGAGAGCAACATTCCACTCTGATGGCGACCGTGGACCAAACACTCGCCAGGGTCAACGAACCCAACCCTCCACCTTCTCCACCTTCATCCCCTCCCCCTGTCTTTGCTGAGCTGGGAATCAACACCCAGCTT